CATTGTTTTTCCCACTTCTAACATCCTTATATTGCATATCAGTTTTGCAGTCTTATTTATTTTCTTTGATCAAACATCACTAGTGGTGGTTTTGGAAAACCTGATAATTCTGTTTGATGTGACATTATGCAGAAGACAGAAATAATAGGAACTAGAAAAGCCCTCTGAGAGCGCAGACCTCCACCCAGCAGCTTGTTTCCACCGTATTGTGATTTCCAGCCAATGTTAAAGTCCTGCATTCATTTTATCTACACTATTAGATTCATGGAGAATCAAACATACCTTTAGCATTTGAATTAACATTGACATGATTAATAACAAGCTGACGGAGTGATGAACGGTCGTTCTGTACTCTCAAACATTTTGACAGGAGACATGTTGAGTCATTGTTAATGTCACAACGTGGTTCTGAACTGATCCGTCAGTAGCTCTGCTCAGCCCGCTCCTGTAATGCTGCCTGGCTGCAGCTTCCTCCTGCTCTGCTGAGAAGCCAGCACTGAGGACTGAGGATTGAATGGAGTCAGAGCTCCATCTAGTGGACAAACGGCGCAATGACCGCATTCTGCACAACTGTGACAGAACAGCATTTATTGGTTTATGAGAAAATAACCAGACGGTAAGAAGGAGCATTATCAAAATTTAATCACCTGTTCATTGCGGTATTATCAACATTTAATGAAAATTTCATGAAAATCTGTTCTTAATTTTTTGAGGTATCTTGCTAACAACATACAAACAGATAAACACAGGCTGAAACATAACCTCGATGGAGGTAGAAATATTGAAAACGGACAGTAATAGATGCTGGCCATGTAAAACCATATAATGATAATAATGCATTTTCTGGCGCATCCATCACACATCGCCTACATATCCATTTGTGTGCTTGTAAAATTGTTACTCAGGTACCCAGGTGCTGAACATGCTGTCAGTGTGGCGTTCTTACTGTTTCTGCTCAGTCAGACCTTGACATAAATTCACATTTAGTGCCTCTGTACTCGGTACAATAAACTTTCGCTTAAGGCTGGCACAACTTTAGCTGCGCTAGCTAAATTGTAACCATTACAAATTGTTAAAAGCTCCTCAGAGATATTATCCAAAAAGAAACGTGTCCTGCATTACTGGTTATTGACTCTCAAAAAACAAATGACACAGAAGGCAAATAAAGGGTTAACATACACACTGAAGCGCCGCCGTTACCGCTGGTTGCCACCATGGCTAATGACCGTCGTCCTCTGTGTTCACCCGTGCGTGTCACATGACCAGAGCGTAGTTTGATTGGCTGGGTGTTGGATTGACTTCGGCCAGAATCGACTGTTTATGTCTAAGTCCCCGGATGTGAAAAGTGAATTTTTCACAGCGAATTTTGAACCTGTCGAATTTGAGCACCTGTCGAATTTTCATGGCTTCGAATTTTTACAGCTGAAATTTTGACTTATTGAAATTTAGATGGGCTAAATTCAGACAAAATAATTCACATACACAATTTTGATGGCGCCCTCCTGTGGACTCACCACCTGCAGAGGGAGTCATAGGGGTCGGGTGCAGAGAGGACTGGGTGGCGGTCAAGAGGGGTTGCCTCGACAGCCTGGTCCGCATACACAGCCTCTGGTTGTTGGGACGTGGAATGTCACCTCGCTGGGAGGGAAGGAGTGTGAGATTGTGCGGGAGGTTGAGCAATATCGGCTAGATATAGTCAGCCTCACCTCCACTTGTTCTACTGGGGGACTTCAACGCCCACGTGGGCAACGACAGCGAGACTTGGAGAGCGGTGATCGGGAGGAACGGCCTCCCCGATCTGAACCCGAGTGGTGTTCTGTTGTTGGACTTCTGTGCTAGTCACAGTTTGTCCATCACGAACACTATGTTCGAGCACAAGGGTGTCCACATGTGCACGTGGCACCAGGACACCCTTGGCCGGAGTTCGATGATCGACTTTGTAGTTGTATCATCAGACCTCCGGCCGTGTGTCTCGAACACTCGGGTAACGAGAGGGGCCGAGCTGTCCACCAATCACCACCTGGTGGTGAGTTGGATCCGCTGGCAGGGGAAGAAGCTGGTCAGACTTGGCAGGCCTAAGCATACTGTGAGGTTCTGTTGGGAATGTCGGACGGAACCCTCTGTCAGCAGGGTTTTCAACTCCCACCTCTGGGAGAGCTTCTCCCAGATTCCGGGGGAGGCTGGAGACATGGAGGCTGAGTGGTCCATGTTTTCCTCCTCCATCGTTGCTGCGGCCGCTCGTAGTTGTGGTCGTAAGGTCTCTGGTGCCTGTCGCGGCAGCAATCCCCGAACCCGGTGGTGGCAGCTGGAAGTAAGGGATGCCGTCAAGCTGAAGAAGGAGTCTTACCTGTCAATTTTGGCTTGTGGGACTCCTGAGGCAGCTGACAGGTACCGGCAGGCCAAGCACGCGGCAGCTCGTGTGGTCGCAGAGGCAAAAACTCGGGTCTGGGAGGAGTTCGGGGAGGCCATGGAGGAGGACTATTGGTCAGCCTCGAAGAAATTCTGGCAAACTGTCTGGCGCCTCAGGAGGGGACAGCAGCTCTCCACCAACAATGTTTACAGTGCAGGTGGGGACCTCCTGACCTCGACTGGGGAGGTCGTTGGGCGGTGGAAGGAATACTTCGAGGGTCTCCTCAATCCCGCTGTCACGTCTTCCGAAGAGGAAGCAGAGACTGTGGACTCAGAGGCGGACTCGTCCATCACCCGGGCTGAAGTCACCGAGGTGGTTAGAAAGTTCCTCGGTGGCAGAGCTCCGGGGGTGGATGAGACCCATCCTGAATACCTCAAGACTCTGGATGTTGTGGGACTGTCCTGGTTGACACGTCTCTGCAACATCACATGGCGGTCGGGACAGTGCCTCTGGATTTGCAGACCGGGGTGGTGGTCCCTCTGTTTAAGAAGGGGGACCGGAGGGTGTGTTCCAACAGACGGATCACACTCCTCAGCCTCCCCGCTAAGGTCGATTCCAGGGTACTGGAGAGGAGGATCCGACCGATCGTGAATCTCGGATTCAGGAGGAGCAGTCTGGTTTTCGTCCCAGTTGCAGCACACTGGACCAGCTCTATACCCTCCATCGGGTGCTCGAGGGCTCATGGGAGTTCGCCCTACCAGTCCACATGTGTTTTGTGGATCTGGAGAAGGCATTCAACCGTGTTCCTCGTGGCATCCTGTGGGGGGTGCTTCAGGAGTATGGGGTCCAGGGCCCTCTGTTAAAGGCTGCCCGTTCCCTGTACGACCGCAGCAGAAGCATGGCTCGCATTGCCGGTTGTAAGTCAGACCTGTTCTCAGTGCGCGTTGGCCTCCGCCAGGGTTGCCCTTTGTCACCGGTTCCGTTCATTATTTTTATGGACAGAATTTCTCAGTGCAGCCAGGGGGAGGAAGGGGTTCGGTTTGGGAACCACAGAATTTCATCTCTGCTGTTTGCAGATGATGTTGTTCTGTTGGCTTCATCAAACCAGGACCTTCAGCGTGCACTGGGGCAGTTTGCAGCCGAAAGCGGGATGAGGATCAGCACCTCCAAATCCGAGGCCATGGTTCTCGAACGGAAAAAGGTGGCTTGCCCTCTCCGGGTCGGTGGAGACTCCTTGCCTCAAGTNTATATATAATACAATATGTATAACTAATAAAACAATACATATATATTTAATATGAAACTGCTGTTACATGACTGATCCTGTTACACTGACATCTTTACAATATTTATTCATCAATCCACAACATTTCAGAAACTAGTTCTGAGTCATTTAAAGGCTGAAAACTGAACATTACATGAACACTGATAACAAAGAATAAACACACTGGAGTTAAGTAAAAAGAGAAATAATGTGAGATATGAACTCAGAAGTCACAGCGTTTGAAGCAGCTTAAGAACATCTGAGACTAAACTCAGCTGGAATGTCTGAAATCAACCAGTGGAACCCTGAAGAGCACTGAGACCGTTCTAGTGGTCGATCCAGTCCACACCTGACCATCTCTCACTGGTCAGATGTCTTTCTATACACATGTGTGTTATTCAGTGAAGCATGTCACATGTCAGCTGTTGTAGCTTTGAGTTCAGAGTTCTGACAGAAGGCCGTCATGGTGGTTTCTGTGGTTTTCTTGGTGCCAATCTGTGGAACGATGTCTGAAGAGTCAGAACTGGAGAAATAATGCAGCTAGAGTCCTGATTTTATCGACTCATTAGCTGTGTCCGAAATCACTCCCTGTGCCCTACATAGTGCACTATATAGGGTGCACGCCATTTTGTAGTGTTGTTCGAATTCTGAGTGGTAAATTTCATCCACAGTATAGTGCACTCAAAATATCCCACAATGCACCGTAAAAAGTAGTGTACAGCCGATGGTCACTAACCGAGAAGGGTCTGACTGCAGCCGGAGCCAAGGCACAGCCGCTACAAACCACGCCCCTACAAACTACGCCCACATGACGCTACGTGGCTGTGGGGTTCCACGGTATGTCAAATGTAAACATAAAGGAAATAAAGCAATAATGCAATAACGGCAGCAATTTCACCAACTTTAACGTTGATTCACACCATTAAATGCCTTCCAATGCAAACAATGCTTGATACAATAATATGATTTTTTGTAAACAAAAAAACAAACAAACAAAAAAACAGAAAGCAATGTAAATAAATAGGACTGCAAATAAAAATTCTTTCTGCTAAATCTGGTGCGTACAGCTTTTTTTGACTAATGTACACAAGTTTATTTCAAACTAAAATTA